AGTACCAACTATATTGTAAGTGGGAAGAGTTTTAATGTAAATGGAAGTTATTTTTTGTTTGAGGGAACGTGGGAGTGTTAGAGTTTTAATGTAAGTGGAAGTTACATTTTTGTTTGATAGAACGTGGGAGTTTTAGTTAGAATTAACTTCTTATTTGAGGGAAACGTAGAGATGTAATGGGCCCATGATATTTTTTACGAAATAAGATAAATGTAAAATGCTAGGAAAATAGAGTTGAGAGTGGGAAGGGTTGTGGAGGCTTGTTCCTGAAAATCCCTTCTCAAATTTATATAGATATAGATTTTATAAATTTTCTTTTTTACTCTTATAAAAATTATTTTTATTTTAACTACCCATGATTGTTTTTACTTTTAATTATTTAAGTATATATTTTCAACACACCTATCCCTAAATATTGTAACTATCAATATAAAATTATTTTATGAAAAATATCTAAAAGATTAAGGATTGCTTCAGTAACAAAATTTTTATTTAAAATATATGACCATAAATTTTATGTTTTTTTTATTGCATACACATTGGGAGTGTATTAAGCACTAGTACATCATTATTTATAAGGAATCGATGTTTCTTCAACGAGTCATAGTTTACAAGTAGTTTACTGCTTCCATGTTCGAACAAAAAAACTGTGGGCTATTCAACATACACGAATTCACCGTTTTTAACATAACTCAAATTGTGTAAGTAAATATTCATCTGTTGTAATTGGACTAGTTTGTTAGTGCATTAAGCTTAGGTATCCGTAAGTTTGAAGTTATCAAAAAAGATCCAAGCATAACACTAAGAAATTCTAAAACTTTACGTCTAGGGAGAGGAAGAGGTTCTAAATTCAAGACTTTTCATTTACACTAAAAAAAATGACATAAATTTTAATCATATAATGTGTAAGATAACCAGTTCATATCATCTTAAGGAGCGAGTATTTTGAGTTTGAAGCTTTGAAAATAATATATTGGTCTCGTTTTAGGTTGAGATTCTTTTGTTAAAAAGCATTTTTAGGAAATAAATAGATATGATTATGACCCACTTAAATTTCTATTTACTTTTCTTTTTATGTTATTTGACAAGAAATAATGACATTAAGAAATTCAAGTTTATTAGCTTAACAACCACAAAAAATTGAATTTGAATGTGTAATTTTTTAAATGAATATAAAGGAATAATACAAATTGACCCATTATCCACTAATTAAATATATTTAATTAAATCATCTAGGTAAACCCATTCAAAGCTTATTGCACACCTAAATCTACTTATTAGTGAGTGTGTTTGAATGAGTTGACATAATTGAATCACGGTTGACACCTATATTCATACATTTTGTCCATGAATGCTAGAGAACCTATTTTCGTCCACGAATGCCGAATGCCCTATTCCATCGGCTAATTAGATTAGATTTTAATTACAAAAAAAAAGAGATTAAAAATTACGACATGTCTATATGATAGATACAAATATGAAAGTAAAAATATGTCATCTTTACTTTGTTTTCATAGCATAAAGTAGTGTTTTGAATATAATATAAATTTTCAGTAGATTATCTTAGATTTCACAAAAAAAGGATAGGATGAAATCACCATAACATACCCATGTTTCTGATATACAAGTGAAAAAATAACGCCGTGGACAGCATAAATCGTCTTAAAGGTTTATAATTTTTTTTTTAAAAATAATACATCATACGTTATTCAAAAAGTCCAATAAAATGTGTACAAGGCAAGTTTTTTTTTTTTTTAAATGTGTGGGAAAGAAATTTAGTTATTTATAATAGCATGCTTTGTAATTGGATACAAGTTACTACATAAAAAGGGTAGAAGAACGTAAAAGAAAATTTTCACAAAATGTTTTCTCAAATATTACCTTTCCAAGCGAAGCTGTAAGTTGGAATATCTCTAAAACTGAACAATAATAATGTATCAAGGTTTCGAAAGAATATCATTTTCATATTCACTATCTGTAAATTCCCTAGTCCGGGTCTGCTCTCTCATGCCCTTCAGTGATGCCCAAGTTGAAACCAACTAGAAATTTTTTTTATTATAAAATAAAAAGAAGGGAAAAGAAAAGAAAAGGAAAAAAAAAAAAAAAGAGTTCCCGCGGGCTACTAATTGCAGCCTGCCGATTTTCTCCTACTTGGACTGGATTAGTTATTTAGTTATTACAGGGGCCGGGTGGCAACTGGCAACTGACGGTTCGAGCAGTTCGATCTTCCACACGTGATTTAGCTGCGTCACACGAGACGCGTGGGCCAACCTTAATTCATTGGTTTTTACTTTTAAGATAGCTAACCACAACAGTCCATGCCCTCGAAAGGGTTGACTTTTGGGGAAACCTCCACAAAGATTTGGTCGCAGTCAGTCACAGGCGTCGTCCATAACTTGTGCGGCATCTCTCGGCCTCCTCCCCCACAACATCACTAGCTGACACCTTTAGCAGCTAAACCAAAGCCCACTCACTCGGTCAACCATTTGTGCTTTCCTTTGAGGTCGCAATTCCCCAGTTCACCGGACCCTCATTCTCTGGCAAAAGTCAACCCGCGTGCAAACAAACCTCCTTGAAGCCACGCTAATATACAGGAAGGTCTCTTATGCTACAACAATTAATAGTAGTATTATTCTTGTTTCATCTTATCTAGGAGCAAAACGAATTTAGTTCCTAAACTACTTTGTTAGAGTTGAAATAATAGTTTCTAAACTTTATTTTGAGCTAATTTAGTCCCCTAACTATTTTAACAAAATAAAAAAAATAGTCCTTAAATTTCATTACGAGCCAATTTAGCTCATAGACTATTTTACTTGAATAAAAATAATCCAATTTTTTACACTAACACTTAGGGGTAGAATTGAATTCAGTCATTACCCTTATCAATGTGTTTTTTTGGGTATAAAAAAGTTGGGTCAGATTGAATTCGATCACTGTCACGAATATGTTTACGGGATCATAAATCACTTACACAAGTTTTTTTTATAGATCGATTATTAATACAACACTTACATCGACAGCGCTTTCTTTGTCCTAAAAGAGTACGATGATGGTCCCATGGTTTGACTTTCTGAGGCTCATTTTCTAGGGATAAAATTAGTCTACCCTTGAGCTTTCAAAACATGGGCCTAACAGGGATTCCCAATCCTTTCACTCCTCTGGATTTTTGGCTTGATACAATTGTACCTCACAAATATGGTAGAAATGGATGGGACTGCACACGTACTCAATCCTCCACTTGTTGGAGTATATGCATATTTTCTTCCTCGCCTCTCCTGTTGGCGATAAAAAGTAATTTGAATCTGTGTGTTTCTAACGAGATCCTCCACGAAATACGTGAACCCATGCCCTCTTTTTGTTCGCATTTGTTGCATTTAAAGACTAGAATCCTTGGAAAGTCCTTTTCTCCTTCTGCTTCCTCCTCGTGGTTGGTTGCTTTCCATACACACATTTGTAGTTCTCATCCACCTGATAAAATTTCTTCGTCATCTTTCCAGTTATACTACGCTAAATTACTAGCTTTTAAGTTTTCTGTTGCTGAGAAGAAGATGAGGTTCTCGATTTTCACCATTTTAAGACCTTTTAAGTTGGTGGCATCACCCATTCACCACACCAACATATTACTTGCGGTAAAGGAGAAGTTCTACATGTAATTTGCTTGCTAGTCATGATTGAACAACGTTTACACCCTCCTTAATTAGTTAGTTGCCCGAGCCCATGCCCACCTGCCTAAGGGAAAAACCGCTGAACAAGACACTCACTCTGCTTTTCTTCCTTTTGAAATCTGTCATCACTAATCAGGGATGTTTCCTTTTCTTCTCCTTTTCAGAAAGAGACAGAGAGTTCTGCGCTGATCAAAATGTGCCACAGAATGCATGAGCGTTGTTGTGTTCACGAACAAAATTTCTAAAAATTAACTTTGATTAGTGAAAGTGAATTTATGGCTTTGCTGAGCTCAATCAAACTCTCTCAGTTTGGTATCCCTGTACTTATTCAACTTCAAATGCGATCCCTGTACTTATTCTTTAGTGGTTGACCATCGCACAATTATTATACAGTAGTAATAATACAGAGGTCATGGATCAGGTAAGCAGTTCGGTCCACACCTCATGCATCTATCCCATCAAAAACATCCCAACAAAGACAAAGTATACACAATAATACTAACACGGGAGAAAAAAAATGTGGCGGATATTGTACCATGGCCTCTCTTTGTATTTTCTCTTGGGATATTTGGATCGCATTTTTCTGAACTTTTTGTAAAAAAATTCATGAAAATGTATATGAAGTCAAAATGTAATTGAAAAATGTAGCAAATTTTCTTTGAAAATCTGCAATTCAAACACAGCCTTGGTCTGCTTTGTATGTATAACGCAGATAATTAATCCAAATCACAAGTCACCATAACGGCACACTGGACATTCCTACGCTACTAGTACCATAATTTGCTATCTACCTTAATTGCCTAAACTAAAATTCTCAAGCAATAGTTAGATGTAACGAAGAAAAAGTGTCTTCAAGTAGTGTGAGTTCTTGGTTGTGCATACTAATGGATGAAGAACCATCATAGTTCATGTGGTGCTATTACCTCTATTGAATGTGTTTAGACTTCATTTCTTGGCAACCATGGCATTTTTCCTAAAGTCAAACTTGTACAAGAGTACGTATTAGATATAGACTATCAGCTCACGAGGGGAAAAGAATAAAAAATGGAAGAAGAAAAGAACGTAAAAGTATTTGCATTATTATATCACGAAATGTATACGATAACTCTAGCAGTGTAGCAACCACCAAACGTAGGTGTTAACCTTTGAAGTATAACCAAGAGATGCAAAAGACACGAAACATCAAAACTTCCCCCTCATCTGCTCCACTCTCCCGACCTTTTAAACATTTCGATAAGCCTTATTCTTACCCACTTCATCTCATTTTTAACACCTAAGAAGCAAGCTTCCTCTTATAATAATGCAGATCTAAGTTTACTAGAGATATCCATCCAAATGGCGGATCTTCAGCCTACTCCTTGGTCTGCAGATGAACTAGTAGGAGAGCTACTTGACAATGAATCGCCATTCTTCATAATTCCTGATCAAGTGGCCGAGGCATCAAACTTGGACGTTGCATCGAATCATTCACCTGTGTATAACAGGCTAATGTCCGCTGTTTACTCGGGGCCAACCATGCAAGATATAGAAAGTGCTTTGTCTGTGACCAAGTATAGAAATCAAACGAGCATGTCTCACAAGCCAGGTTCGATCGCGTCATCTGCTTAAATTTATGTATTGATCGATAATAGCCAGCGTTGTACATGAAGCCTTGATTATAATTGCCTCTAAAGCTGTCCGGCCACATCAATGCAGAGTTTCCATGTTGGACAGAGACTTGAGTAGGACTCATGAGAACAATTACAGGTACACGCTGAGAATTAAGAGTTGCGACAATGCATTGGCTGATGATGGTTATAAATGGAGGAAGTATGGCCAGAAATCTATAAAGAATAGCCCAAACCCCCGGTATTAATCTCGGTTGTTGTGTACTAGTCAGTATAGTACTCGAAAGTGACTGAATTTTATTTATAGTTGCCGTATTTTTATTTTTACTTTCCGGAATAACGCGATGTCTTGTGAATTTGCAACCGGTGTTATGACACAGGAGCTATTACAGGTGCACAAACCCAAGGTGTGGTGCAAAGAAACAGGTGGAGCGGTGCAGTGGTGACCCGGAAACTCTCATCATCACCTACGAAGGCCTTCACCTCCACTTTGCTTACCCATTTTTCCCATGCAACCGACCACAACAGCAGCATGTGAATTCCCCCGCTAAGAAGAAGCAGAAGCCCACGAGTAGTAGCAATTCACAAGGCAGAAATGATCAGGAGGCGCAACGCAGCGTTACTAGTAGTATAAACGATGCAGAAGAAAGCCCGGACAATGTTACCCACTGTAGCCCTGTAATACCACCACACCGGCAACAGTCGGCGACGTCAATACAGGATGGGCAGAAAGGAACAGAGGGCGACTACTCGCCACAAGGCTTGCTTGAAGATGTGGTGCCATTACCAATTCGTAATCCCTTGATTAATCCGACGTCCGTGAATTCTTCGTCCTCTTCCTCTTTTCCATCTACTCCAACTTCACCTTCTCCATTTCGTGGCCCCGGGCTATTCAACCTTAGGCTTCGTCGGATTTTAGGTTTGTACGTAGCTCTGGTATTTACTAGTACTAGCTAGGAGACCATAACTCGTTGCGTATGATATATGAATAATCTAATTAATTTCAATACGAAATTTTCTTGGTTGAAAATTGAAATGTATATGTATACATCCCCAAATATTACAACGAAGTAATATCAACATTTATCTTGAATTCTGAGAGTTGCAAAATGCTGTAAAACGCCCGGAGCTCGACAAAGCAGAAAGTATCACTGTGCGTTGTCCTTCCTGAAGGGAACTTTCATGATGGAGCAACTAGTATGAAAGTCGATCTTTGATGGTGGGCGCAAAATATACAAGGCTTCAATTTCTCTTGAACTCATGCATGAGCAGTGATACCAAAGAAAAATCGCTACGTTTTTATGAATATATTTTTCAATCACCTTTTTACCTGATGTATATCAAATGTTATAGTAATTTTTCTATTAAAAAATTCAAAAAATGCAATCCAAACTAAAAAAATATTCCTTTTTTTTTGGAAAAATATTCTTTTGAAATCACCAGGAGCCTGTCCTGATCCTAGCAGTTGGGGAAGAGGGAGGGTTAAAAATATATACATATATATATATATATATACCCAAAAAATATATATATATATATGTATGTTTGGTTCAAGGGGAGACCCTGAAAAAAAAAAGTATTAAGTTGGCGTTGGTGACAAATTCGGATATCTTACAGTGAAACCAGGGCCGTCGTACACAAGGCGGTTAGCCCAAACAGCCACGAGCCCAGCCCCATTCTCACTCGTTGTTAAAAAGGACACTTAATTGGGCCACCATACTAGTCAGTCCAATTTCTTTGGCGATGGGTCCCAGTATCTAACCAAGCTTGCAGCTTCGGACACGGACTTGTTCGATTGCAGATACTGTGGGGGAAGCTCCCCCGGCATTCCCCCACGACTAGAGCCAGGGCCGACGGACGAGGGTAAATGCGTCATAGAACTTAACCCGTGGCGGCATGTATATGTATATTCGGTTAATTCCCTTCGTCGTTCAAAAATCATGCAAGCTTCTACGTATGTCGTGAGTGATTAATCCAGTTTCGGTTAACTCTGATTATCACCACCTTCTTTTACGCTCCCCTGAAACGCAGCGAATGAGACCACTTAAAAGCCCTAATTTAAACGCTGAAACGCAACGACGACGTAAGAAAAAAATCGTCCCACTCCTGGGCCTAATTTACTGTAGTTGGACGCGAATACATGTACAACCATCGGAAAAATGATTTTTTCACGAATCGGTCGTTCTCTTCTCAGCTCTTCTCGATCCGCATACAGTAATGTAATCTCATTAAATGACTACTGTAATTTTCTTCCTTTTTGTTTACAAAATTAGGATTTCGTGATTATCATATTGTATAATTGTTTTGCCCCTCTGGATTATTTTGTTTTGCAGAAGTTAATTTCTGGTTTTGGTGTCCGTGGGATGAGGTCGCCCTCGGTTACTTCGACTGATCTGAATGCGTGCATTCCACGCGTTGATGCTCCTACCCTAGGCCTGTGAGAAGCTATTTGACATCGATCAGAGCTGGAGCTGGAGGTGGAACTAAGATCGCTGGAACCACGTTTTCTGTCGGAATTTAACTCGGTTTTTGCCAACCCCAGGCTTCGGAGGCTCTTTTGCAGTGAAGCGCCCAAAAAAAGAAGTCAGTCACGCATACCTAATCAGCCCTTTATTGCATTGTGATTTTCTTCTTCTTCCTTTTTTCTGTTGAGTTTGATGGTTTTGACTGGTAGTTTTCTATTGCTTTTGCTTATTTCTTGCAAATATGGTTTGCTTTTGCAGACTATGAAACTATTATCCAAAGGACAAGAAAGAAATTCCAAAAGGGGATAATAAGAAATCATCAGAAGCTAAAGGTACTTAACTTTCCAATATCTCTGCAGTGCGGTCGCTACTGAGGTGGCTGTGAGCATTACTGTGCTTGTATCCTGGTCTTTTTATTACTGTTGATATTTCATCTCCTTCAATGGTATTTCCTGTATTCTTTGTGTGATTTCATATGTATTGTGCTATCTTTTCTATCAATTTTCCTACTTCCTTGTTCTTAATAGTCTTATAAGTCATCCATCATTTCATGTTCTTGCTAGATGAATCAAGTGCCGGTGATCAAGCGAATGGCCAGGATAGTTCTTCAAAGCAATTTCAGAATTTAATTATGCCATTATTGTTTATTGGGTATGTGCTTTCATCCATACTGCTGAGTCCTCGTGAGCAGAATCAGGTCAGCTCCCTGTTCTTTTATTCCAGTTTCTGAGCCTATTGGTAATGTTAGTATGGATATCTCTGTAACACACCAATTGACAGTATAGAGATACCTCAATTTCTTTAGTTGCTATTCTCCGTGCCTGAATAATGTAGTAAAACTCTTTAAAGAGGAACCATAACTAAATGTCCACTGAGAGCATTTGTAAATAATTTGTGAACAACGATTAGTACTGATGCCATTCATACTTGGGGTTTAGATTCTTTATTTGGTAACTAGTTGAGTGTTTTAAGTATCAAGTGCCAACTGTAAAATTTCTGGAGAAATGGGCATAACGTGAACTATTTCAATTGAAATAGTGATTAGTGGATTCTCTCAGCAGCTGCTCTTTTTCTTATTGAGAAAGATCTTTTTTTTTATTGTTTTTTCGCTTTATTTATTTGTGGAGTGAAAGTGGTCAGGAGTGGAAAATTTTTGTCTCCTGGTCTCCAAAAAATTGACAATTGGGCACCATTTGGAGTTTGCTGCCAGCAATTTGAATTACTAGGTTTATCACTGAACCTTGTTTGTTACTAAGATATCTGTGACACCTAACAAAGACACTTAATGTGGCGCTCCAACTCTTAACTTCTCTCTCATCCTTTAACTATTTTAACCTGATTTTCAGATTAGTTTCCAAGAGTTCAAGACCAAGCTACTTGAACCAGGTCTTGTTGATCGAATTGTTGTCTCCAACAAATCAGTTGCAAAAGTTTATGTGAAGGATTCATCTCCTGGTGCTAATGATGCTGTCCAAGGTCCTGTTCATGTCCCAGTTCCAGAAGAAATGTGAGCAAGTACAAGTATTATTTCACCATTGGAAGTGTTGACTCCTTTGAGGAGAAACTGGAGGAAGCCCAGGAGGCACTAGGGATAGATCCTCACAATTATATCCCTGTGACCTACGCAGACGAGATGAATTGGCTTCAAGAGCTTTCGAAGTTTGGACCAACATTGTTGATTTTAGCTGCACTTGTCTACATGGGACGGAAAGTGCAGGGTGGTTTGGGTGTTGGAGGTCCTGGTGGGAAAGGGGCGCGTGGATCTTTAACATTGGAAAGGCCACATGTTACAAAATTGGATAAGAACTCCAAAAATAAGGTGAGTTTGTTTACTTGGTCCATCAAGTGGAGTAATTTACTATTCATTTTCACATCAGTTTCATTGTCAGAAGGTGGCTTGTTTTAATCTGGCTGTACAGGTTTACTTTAAAGATGTAGCTGGTTGTGATGAGGCAAAGCAAGAAATCATGGAGTTTGTCCATTCCTCAAGAACCCCAAAAAGTACGAGGAGTTAGGTGCTAAAATTCCTAAAGGTGCTCTACTTGTTGGTCCTCCTGGAACTGGGAAAACACTTCTTGCTAAAGCAACTGCTGGAGAATCTGATGTGCCATTCCTATCCATTTCTGGGTCAGATTTTATGGAAATGTTTGTTGGAGTAGGGCCAGCAGGGTCAGGAGCTTATTTCAAGAGGCTAGACAGTGTGCACCCAGTATAATCTTTATTGATGAGATTGATGCAATTGGTCGAGCAAGGGGCGTGGGGGTTTCTCTGGGGGCCATGATGAGCGTGAAAGTACGCTTAATCAGTTGCTTGTAGAATTGGATGGATTTGGAACCACTTCTGGTGTAGTGGTACTTGCGGGCACAACAGGCCTGATATCTTAGACAAAGCTCTGTTAAGGCCTGGTAGATTTGATCGTCAAATTTCTATAGATAAGCCCGATATTAAGGGGCGGGACCAGATATTTAGGATCTACTGAACAAGTTGAAACTTGATCAAGATGCCTCATACTACTCTCAAAGGCTTGCTGCTCTGACTCCTGGATTTGCTGGAGCTGACATTGCGAATGTCTGCAATGAAGCTGCTCTGATTGCCGCTAGGAATGAGAGTACAGTGATCACGATGCAACATTTCGAGGCAGCAATAGATAGGGTCATTGGGGTCTGGAGAAGAAGAACAAGGTATTTCAAATATCACTTATCTTCTATTTCTTCCATCATTTGATTCTTTTATATGTTTTCTGGTTTAAAATAACAAGCAGTTTCGGCAAGAGAATTCTGCACCTTGAATATTCTGATTAATTTCATGAAAATTTATTCATGGAAACTTAGAGCCCAACTTAATAATCCTTTCTATATACTCTACATCTCTTTTGCGTTGGGTGCCTCTTGGTTCTCTTTAATTCTGAAGCATAGGTACTGGATTTCACTCCTGAGATTATGTACCTTTGCTTGAAGCAAATTGATTACCTTTTTTCCCCACAAAAAGACTACATTAAGCTTGTGTAAAGAAATATATGAAGAATTAAAAAAAATTGCGGATGCAAGGAGTGAGAGAGTAAAGGGATCCACAGAAGTTAAATTGTCTAAACTAGACTTTCATCTAGTATGGATACTAGGCTGGGGAATATTTAGTGTTTACTTGTCTTCTTCAGGTTATCAGCAAGTTAGAACGACAAACTGTGGCTTACCATGAATCTGGTCATGCTGTTGCTGGTTGGTTTCTGGAACATGCAGAACCGTTGCTTAAAGTAACAATTGTTCCTCGTGGTACTGCTGCTCTTGGTTTTGCTCAGTACGTTCCAAGTGAGAACCTTTTGATGACCAAAGAGCAGCTATTTGATATGACTTGCATGACACTTGGTGGTCGAGCAGCAGAACAGGTGAATTTACCTCTGTTTTTTCAATATAAATTGGATTTTCAGAATTGTTTTGCAGTGTTATGAGGTTTATGGAAACTAGAATATGTTTGTTCCAATATTGAAGTTTTTGCAATTATATCAAGGGTTTGGGGAGTAATAAAATCTTAAAAGTACCTAGTAATGGAAACTGGTCTTGAATATACTGTGATCACTTTTCCACTTTATGAAACCTAAGTAGCATTTGGATGATTCTTTGTCATTTTTAGTCTGAATTTGACTTTAGCTAGAAATTAAAAATTTTTCAGTACAATGATATGTTAATTGGATATGTTTGATGGTTTCTGTCACGACCTGGGTCCAAGGGCTGGCCCAAGTAACTTTTGGGCCAAAATCCACTGCCCAAAATGGTTAACCCAAGTTACAAAGCAGCCCATGAGCCCAAGTTGTTAAACCATTCCTTTCCTTTGCATTCTTCCGATGTGGATACTACAGTTTGTGCTTCTGATTATCTTTTGCCTGGATTTTTTGGAGCTTTTAAAGTGATAGATGGCACCATGATTTACCATATTGCTTCCTGATGCTTGGAGAACTGTGGTACACTAATTACACTACTTAGAAATCATTTTGATGAATAGGTTGTAGCATTAATTCTTTTTCTTTTTAAATTATTTGGGCAAATGTCACGAAAGCAATACGATATTATAGAATTACTCAGGAAGCATTTTCTTGTGAAGCAGGAGGTTGTCCATCAGATATAAAACCTAAGCTTATTCATCATGGCTCATTTAATTTGCCTTTCTCATCATTAATTTCATTTTTGTACAGTCATATCGAGCATGACTGGTTTTTCAAGCACATTCTTCTCCTTTGAATCTGACCATATTATATCAACTTCCTTCAACTGACACTCTTTTTTTTTTTTTTTTTTTTGGAGTAGGTCCTGCTGGGGAAGATTTCAACTGGAGCACAAAATGATTTGGAGAAAGTTACCAAAATGACTTACGCCCAAGTGGCAGTGTATGGTTTCAGTGACAAGGTTGGTCTCCTTTCCTTTCCTCAAAGGGATGATACCTTTGAAATGAGCAAGCCCTACAGCAGCAAGACGGCAGCTATTATTGACAATGAAGTTAGAGAGTGGGTGAGCAAGGCATATGAGCGCACTATACAGCTGATAGAGGAGCACAAGGATCATGTTGCTCAGATTGCTGAATTATTACTCGAAAAGGAGGTTTTACATCATGGGGATTTGGTCCGCGTGCTGGGTGAACGTCCATTCAAGAGCAGTGAGCCCACAAACTATGATAGGTTCAAGGAAGGGTTTATAGAAGATGATAAAGAAGTAGTAAAAGATTCTCCAGAAGGTAAGTCTGTACAGGATGATAGCTCGCCACCTTTGGACCCAGATGTTGTTCCAGCGTAGTTGGGGGTGAGAGACAGTGGCTTGAAAATGAGAGCAGGTTGAACACTTTATACGCCTGATCTGTTCGCTGCCTGCGCCCTCTATTTGCAGCACGGTGAATTTGTAAATTCAATGACTTGTGCAATTAAAAGTTTAGGGGATTTTATGTCTTCAACGAATAGCGTCCTTTATGCTATCCCGTTGTCAACATTGATAGGTAGTGGATGTAGTTTTGAGACAAGGTCTCGTGGTTAAACCGGAGAAAATCTAACTTTTCCAAAATTGATACGAATGGGTGGATCATCAGGTGAATCGACTTTCAGCATGTCAAACACTGCTTTTGCAGTTTAGCTCACATCTTGTTTTTACAATTAAATGCATGTATAAATAATTGTTTAAAAAAATGGTTCCACTGACTAACGTTCTGTTTAGTCTGGGTTTTTTTTTTGTCCATTTGGTATGGTGATGTATGACAAATATTAATGGTGGACCGCATGTTTTTTTCTTCTTTGTCCTCTTGGTTCTTAACCTATCAATTTTTCATTTCCTGTTTTCTTGTGTTGTCTATGGACAACATGCTAGAAGTAGCGTTGGTGGTAAAAAGAATTTGTTTCTTCATATTTAAATCTGCTGTGCATTTGAAGTTTTTCAGCCTTTTCACAGCGCCTTATCGTTATGCAATTGGGCATGCTTTTTCTTGTTTTGTGCAGAAAAGCTGTGAATTGAAATCTGATAATGTCAAATTTCAATTTATATATATATTTTTTTACCCTGAAAATCCTCCCGTTCTTTTGTGAAAAGTCTGTTTGTATTTTCGGACAGCTAACTAAGCAGTACTTGGTGTCAATATTGCCACGTAAGAATATGAGGATTGCAGTAGAGCGGGAGCGGGTCCTTCCTGATGTGGCAATGTCTTCGCCCAGTTATCATATGTTGCATATATTTGTTGTGGCGATAAAGATTAGTATTTTATGGAGTAATTCATACTTTGGGCTTGAGACTCAGACCATTCCACAACAATGAAAAGTAGCAGTATTACTATTATGGACAGAAACTAGAGATTGTTGAGATCTCCTATACTTGCTTTTGGCTGTTATGTTGTCCGACCATTAAGTTGTGTCCATTTAACCTTGTTATGTTTGGAACCTAGATCGAGGATTCTCACACTTAATGATGGATGGATTGTTCAATCACTAACATTTCTCGCAGCTGGATGGCTGGCTGGATGCCGAGATGGCTGGCTACAATTGTTTGGATTTGATCGCAACTATTTCTAAAAATTGGCAACCTATATGACTAAATGATTATTTAGTGGCCTTGTATCTGTGTTCTGAAAGGCACAAGACAAGGGGACTACAAATGTATGGCCCTTGTATCGTCTGGTTCTAATTGATTGCGTCAATTGACGGGGACTCCATCGAATGATGACCGTTGGATCATTGGAACTGCTCCTACGGCTCTGCTGGTGGTATTTGAAATAGGATTGCGGTGCTGATCAATGACCAACTCCTAACCAAATCCAGCCATTGTTGTGTTTGGATGGCGTGACAAGTTAACCGACCCTTGCATGAGCATGAAACATTAAATCACTAAACAGCACCCCCCCCCCCCCCAAATGGCTTCCGAGTAGGAAAGCAAATTAGGTATAAAAAGTAGATCTACTTTGCGGTACTTTCCAGCTCTCCGCTAGTAATTGGATGCCAATCATTTTTTGGCGTTTGCTTTTCCATCAATTAGCGCCGAAGACCTTTCACAGTAGCTATATATTTGCTGTTCGTGTGGTGGCGAGAGGCTTATGGGTCTAGGTTGGATTCAGTGCGGGTCTAAATAAGAACATCCATACTAGAACCTTCTCCCTAGGTTTGGATAATCAACGAGCATTTATGAGTATTTTTTTAATATTGTGAAGTAAAAATATATAGAATTCAAAAGTAATATAAATACGATCTAATTTTTGTTTTCAAATAATAAAATTAATATTTTTAAAATTTAAAATTTACCCTTTAATTTAACAATCATGAAGTCTTACTCTATTCAATTCAATACTTATAGAATAATATATATATATATATGTATATATGTTTATGTGCGTGTATGTGTGTGTGTGTGGCCGAGGAGGTGGGAGGGAAGGGATGTGGGGGAAAGGGATGGATTAAGTAATATAGAAAAAGAAGTGTAAGTAAGAAATTTTGAATTTAAAATTTGTCACTTTAAGTCTTAGGTTCCGTTTGATAAAACTGAATCTGAGTTCTGAATTCTGAAATCTGAAATCTGAATACTGAAACAATTAATTTGCTGAATTTTAAGCACTGAAAAAAATATATGAATGTCTGAATTTTAATGTTAAACCTTTTTATGCTGTTTGATAAATATTTATAGCTGAATGCTTAATGAGTTTAATTTGATAATTTTGCCCTTATATCCTTTCATTCAAAAAAAAATAGAATCTATGATTTAATTAATTTAAAATTGTTAGGTATGAAAATGACAATATTTATTTTTAAATCAAATTAATATAAAATGTGAAATACATTATATGAGGAGTATGAAGAAGATGTGAAAGTCATTAGAAAGGGAGAAAAGAGAAACTAAAAATCGTTAGATAGAGAATATTATATTGTTTAATCAGATAAAAATTTTGAACATAATTAACAAACAATGGTAGATTTCGTAAATAAGATAAGGTAGCTGAAGTAATTCTATTGATTCTTATTAGAATTAAGCATTAAGTTAGGATTCTTATACTGAAAAAAAATACACACATGTCCAGCACTGCTTAACAAATTCAGCAAATAGATTTTCATTTATCAAATACTCAAAACATCTAAATATTTAAAAAAAATCCAGATTCAATACTTTTTCATATTATCAAAAAGACCCTTAGTTAAATTTGGATAAGACTAGACCGGTATACTTGGCTACACTCGACTTTGTAGACCACGCTCATTTGTAAGCTGAGGCAATGGTTCGCGAGTTGAGGTATTTCTTGTCCCTATATTTATTATGCTAAAATTTGTTGGTTTTTCTCAGATTTGCATTTTTCATTATATTATTATTTTTCCAGATAAGCTCAGATTTTCATTTTCAACGGATGTCGGACCTCCAAACCTAGAACTTCCGCAAAGACAAGTGGCCTCCACATTGGGCACAGATCCATCCAATAGCATTTTGTCTTTTTCTTTGTTTTTTTGTTTTTGGCATTAAGGCAATTTCGTGCACGAATCAATTTCGACTCACAAAAAGCCGTAAGAAAGAAAAGGGGAATGTATTATGTAGGAGAGGAGTGGAGGTTTGAAGGTCGAACCCACAACCAGCCTTATTATTTAGTGCCCTCCAGTTCCAGTGGCCTACACCTCCTTGGCTGATGATTATGGAACAATAATGATACTCCTCAGTTCACGCCCAGTAAGGATTGTTGGGCAAACTCCTTATTTGTGCATGTTAAAAATGCATACCTTAATTGACTTTCTTTTGCTTCCAATTCTTGTAACTTTTCAATAGTTTCTAAACTAAATTTTGAAGTTGTTACTTCCCACTTTCCAAAGAGAAAAACCATGTCGACATAATGTGCATTCGAGAGAAAATTGTTGCTTTCCCACTAATAGCTACAGAAGAGTGGACGTAATTTATGATGACTCTGTTTACCCAACGTGAATCAAAATGACAAAATCATGTTTGAAATTGGCTCATTATTTTTTGGATATAAGAAACTTAAAAGATTCATTCAAACATCAGCTTTTAGACACCCCTAATTGTCTTAATTGGATTTTTTCGATGGAGTTTCTGCTCACATCGAGCCCTCCTCTCCCGTCCCTCTCTCCCTAGATCAGACTAGATTAGATTATAAGAATCCTATCGTTTCGAAAACAAAAAACAAAAAAATCCCCAGTGTAGATGAGCTTTTGCGAATCATCAAATATCATCCAATGAAGATAAGCAACAGACACTAATTAAGAAGCTAATCCCATGAATTTCTTGATTGGATTGAAGTTGATATCAATTTGGATCAAGAGTTCTGCGGTACAAACAGATTACGCTTCATCCACCATTATAGCCTATTGTCAAGGGAGAAGTTAAATTCAGCTCATTCCGTCTTAAATTAAGTGTCAAATCGTACAGGTCATGAATGCATCAAATCAAATGTGTGGATTTAGTTCCCCTCTATTTATCTCTGTGTAAGAAAAGAAAAAGGATAAACGCGAATCCATCACGGAGCCCGCATGGCACCTTTTGTTTACCCCTTGATTAGCAGTTGATAATTGTTGGGAAGAACAAGGCACTTAGCATACGTTAGGTTTTGGAAGACCAATACAATGGGGACATCATTATTTTATCAGATGTCAAGTGCATTATTGGTCAAATGCTTCCAAAACTGCAACTCTTAAGTGGAAGAACGGATTCCAAGAACCCCCAAAAAAACCTAGAGCTACGTAGCTTGACCATACATGTGAATGTGTACATTCATCTCACGTCTTAGTTGTCAAAACAAAAGAAATACAGAGTCTGTGTCAGCGTTGTTGGCCTCGTTCGTTGATACAAAAAGAAGATTGAACTCATTTTTGGTATTGCTATAAGGCATTAATTGACTTTGATTTTGTCTGAGACTCCAATAATGACGGGTGGAGTCTATGCGCTTTCGGCTTGGTTTCAAGCCTATTTACCTATTGCTTGAAACCAAGCCAGACACAGGACACTAGGACACTAGGACACTAGGACAGGGCTATTATATATATATATATATATATGTATGTGTATGTATTGATGATGGGCGTATGAGATGCGTTGGAGCTCCATTGCCGTAGCTTTCACGGTGAGCCAGCCTCACCAGCTGGAGCACACAGAAATGAAATATCTAAAAGCGCCATATGATTGACAACCGGTTGCATTTTGATACTTATATAATCATTAATAATTGGAGATTGATGACCACACCGTTCAATATACGACGTGTTGCGATCGGGGCCAGCCAGGTGGCGCGTCGGAATAGTTGGAAGAGGAAGGAGATTATCAACTGAAAGAGTTAGGAGCGGCCCTTTCGAGTCCCAAAACCATAAAACCAGCTATTGTCAAATGCGTAGCCATCATCTCTAGAAATTAAAAATAAGCAGCCCTCCTACTCAACGTTTTCAAGTGGGGGAAAACGAAGATCGAAGAAGGGTCTTTGGTCTATCCTTTTCAGCAAACACCTGGTGGTGGGTGGATTCAACCAGCCACCGTATCCGTATGTATATAGAACATGTCATTCCCTTTCGTGCGAGCACGATAAATTTAGAGGAGAAAGAGAAATTAAAGAGACGGTCAGGCTTCTTCCCCATTTCACTGATTAAGTTAGCAGATTGTCAAATTTCTGCTTTTAAGCAAAATTTTCAAGTAGAATACGCATCTAGCGTAATAATTGTAGATATAGGGATATGATTGATCGGCATCATCT